TGGGAACAATACGAATGAAACAAGCTTCGTCAAACAAGCTAAGAAGTGTAAACAATAGATACTCACTAAGATAAATCATATCATATCTTTATGTTTTAGCTAGTGAAAATGCAACATCCATATCAATTGACAAATCAAGCCTTTCTATATATTAGAAAAAATATCACAGTGTCCTGATTTTTACCACATCATGTTCTACGAAAAACATCAAGCATGCTTGAAATATAAGTAACGTATAAGTAACAATGAATACAAATACTTTCAGTTGACTGTGATGACCGACACTGACAAGGCCGATGCAATTTGTATCTGTACTTTAGTTTACACTCTCATATTTCAGTCAGGTAATATAGTTATATAATCCGGTCATCAAAATGTCATCTGCTGTTACCATGCAACCTTATACAGCATGTAACGCATGGTCTATATTTATCATATTTAGATCTTCGATGAAAATGTCACAGTTATTTTGTAAATACTTTGAATCTGAATTGAATTATTTGTTCTGTTCTACTTTACATTGAATGCTGGATACAAAGTACAAGTTCTTATTTATTTACCCTTTTAAGAAAGCAGTTTTGTGATTTTTTTCAGAGGTTATGAAACACACGTACTTGCTGTAAACGAGAAGATCGTCATTAACTCTCCAAATTTCCCAGACGAATCCGATAACGACTTCGACTGCGAGTGGACAATCGAAACGGTCGCTGACGCTGTTCTACATGTCACGTTCAACAGCTTCAATACTGAGACTGGATTCGACCGGCTGTACTACCAAGATTTGCCAGGAAATAATAGTGTATTTCAAGGAGACAGTATACTGGAGGCGTTTACTTCATCGACCGACCACAGCGGAGGTCGATCCGACCGTGCACTGTCTGAATGCATACTTTGAAGTATCCTCGTTATAACCTTTTTATTATACATTTTTCCTCCCAGGAATACATCATAGGAATGCCGAAATCCAAAACTTTTAGAACAGATTTAGCGAACTTTTTGTGTGGGGTTCGGTTAAACCCTGGTGGCAGCCATGTTTTTTTTAATTGGAGGACGCTTACGCACGTAATCGTTCCATATTTGGAATTAGCGTTTCCTAATTTGGTAGAATGAAAATACCCCGTAAAATGCCGCAACATTACGGCACGCTGTAACTTATGGCGTTACGGTGACAGATGTATAATAATACCTAATATGTACACCGATAGGTCCCAGACGCGAATAGCCGCTGAGATCTCGTTGAGAGTAAGAATGCCACGAGACTTGCTTTTCTTCCATAGA